ACGCTTCCTCAAAAAATACAAATTAACTACTCAAGTTGCATCTGCTGTGTAGCAGCGATACTACTACCCGAAACCTCCATAGTTTCTTCCACTACGGATTGTTCTCGGGAATTGGCACTTTCATCGTCTTCCTCATCATCCTCCTTATCGGATTCAAGCCCAAACCCCATATCGCCCTCAATCCTTTGCTACAGAATTAAAAAATTTTAATATTATTTATGTAATATTACGTAATATTACTTAAATCTTTTAATACTTACCATGTTTCTTCAGATTGATTTTTTATTATTAACTTCTTGATCGATTCCAAGAATGCCTGCACTCTTGATATGCTAATTGACGCCTCTCAATTCTTCGTCTTAAATAAGCTCTCCGTGTAGCATCTAAAATAAATATATTTAATAAATATATATTTAAATAAATAATAATAAATTTAAGCTACTACCTCTAGGAAGCCAGAATTCACTTCTCATCAACTCATAAAATTGTACATCATATCTATTAGGAGAAACTAAATTTGTTGTTCTTCTGGCTTCTCCTTTTAAAATTCTTTTTGAATTATGGTATCCTCTTACTAAGGAATACCATTTATTTTGACACTGTCTCGCAGTTATTTGAATAGTATTATCTGTGTTTAAATTATTTGCAATTCTTTCCCATAAACCAGCATGGTCAGAATTTCTTGCATATTCAAATTGACTTTGATATTCAGCTCTTAAGTTGATTAAGTTTTAGCGACATTTAAAGTCCAAAGACGTGTCATTTTAATTATATGATTTGTTTGAAAAAATTTTTAAACCATAAACCATCTTATTTATATTACAAATTCAAAATCTATTTCACGTCATTTCATATAATAATAATTACATTATTTTTTTTTGATCGAAATATATTAAGAAACGACATTTGAAACCATATATTTTGCATTACATTAGTTTTTTTTAATTATTAATATATTTTTTTTTCCCCCTTCGCCCTGATCATTTTCTTTCTTTTTTTTTTTAATTTTAATCTTTTTTTTATTTTTTTTTTATCTTTCTATTTTCATTTTTTTTATGCATATATACGTATAAAAAAAATCTAACACATACATACAATTACAAAATTTTATTCTTGCATAATTATATATTAGTTGTACATTAATCGCGTTTAATACGAAGATATATATCGTTTAATCGGTAATAATTTCTATATTGGTAATAAATGACGCGCATTTATTTCACTTCTATAAACTAAAAAAAATTCCGATCAAGTATATTACTAAATTATATAAGGGCATGTATTTGAAAATCAAAGATCGATCAATTTGATTAATTTTTTTGATCGAAACATATTAAGGAGTGACATTTTAAACCATATATTTTGCATTACATTAGTTTTTTTTATTATTAATATTCCCCCCCCTTCGCCCTGATCATTTTCTTTCTTTTTTTTTAATTTTAATCTTTTTTTTATTTTTTTTTTTTTATCTTTTTATTTTCATTTTTTTTATGCATATATAAAAAAATCTAACACATACATACAATTACAAAATTTATTCTTGCATAATTATATATTAGTTGTACTTTAATCGCGTTTAATACGAAGATATATATCGTTTAATCGGTAATAATAAATTTCTATATTGGTAATAAATGACATGCATTTATTTCAGAAAAAAAAATCTGATCGAGTATATTACTAAACTATATAAGGGCATGTATTTGAAAATCATCAATAATCAAAGATCGATCAATTTGATTAAAATTTTTTTTTTGATCGAAAATGATCAATAAATTTGATTTCTACTTTTAGAAATTTTACACTAATTTATTGATCGAAATTGATTAAACAACTATAAAAACATTTTTAAAAATAAATCACATTCTTATATTCTTAATTTGTTTTTGTGTCATTATTTTTTTGATCAGAATTGATAGTCAAACCAGTTTAAAGTTGATTGACTGATATGTAGATAATAAATAAAGAGGTTAATTTTCTATTTTTTAAAAATTATCACATTCTTATATTCTTAATTTGTTTAAGTATCATTATTTTTTTTGATTAGAATTGATAAACTGTAGGCTGAACCAGTTTAAGTTGATTGATCGATAAGTAGATAATAAAAAAAGGTAACGCGTAAAGTCTCGTGTATTTCTAGTATAAAAGTGCCAATATCTTTTTTTTCACGCGTATTTTTTCAACTTCAACCTTTTTCAACAAAAACGAATTTTTGAAACAACTATACCTTTTTTAAACGAAATAATTTTTTTTTTAA